GGGTGGCTAGATTTAACTTTGTGTAGTCCATGCAAATTCTCCAGCCCGTGACAGTTCTTGTTGAAATCAGTTCATTGTTATCGTTTTTGATCACCGTCATGCCACCCTTCTTAGGCACACATTGCACTGGGCTAACCCAGCTGCTGTCAGAGATTGGGAAAATGATTCTTGCATCTAACCACTTTATCACTTCTTTCTTCACCACTTCCTTCATGTTTGGGTTCAGCCTTCTTTGGTGTTCCCTAGAAGGTTTGTGTCCCTTTTCTAGCAGAATTTTATGCATACAGTAGGTGGGGCTGATTCCCTTAATGTCTGCCATGGTCCACCCAATGGCAGTCTTACACTCCTTGAGTACCTGCAAGAGTTGTTCTGCCTGCACATCTAATAAACTAGATGAGATAATAACAGGTAATGTGGAGTCAGGTCCAAGGAACTCATATCTGAGATGGGCGGGCAGTGGCTTCAACTCCATCTTTGGTGGTTCTTCGATGGATGGCTTGGCTGGAGGAGTTTCTCTATTTTCTAAGTGCAAGGGCTCAAATTCAAGAGTTCTATCCCAGAACCCTTTGCCCTCTAACGCCAACACCCATTCTGCCAGTTCTTCTCCATTCACCTCATCTAAATTCATCAAACATGCAACAAGAGGGTCATCAATAGTCAGCATCTCATCATCAATTTCTACGATTACATCCACGACATCAATAAGAGAGCAATTGGCGAATTCACTTGGTCGCCTCATAGATTTCTACACATTGAATGTTATCTCTTCGTTGTTCAATCTCATCTTAAGCTCCCTAGTCTCACAATCAATGAGATCTCTCCCAGTGGCCAGGAACGACCTTCCCAAAAATATGGGAATTTCTTCATCCACCTTGTAGTCTAAGATCACAAAATCTGCAGGGAACACAAATTTCCCCACCTGAATCAACACATCATGCAAGATACCAGAGGGTCTTTTTACAGTCTTATCAGGCAGCTGCAACAACATAGAGGTGGGTCTAGCTCTTCCAATCCCCAGCCTCTTATAAATCGCTAGGGGCATAAGATTTATGCTGGCCCCTAGATCACAAAGTGCCTTAGCAAAAGCAAAATTACCAATAGTGAGGGGAATTGTAAAGCTCCCTAGGTCATATAGCTTCTCCGCAATTGGTCTAGTCACCACTGCACTGCAGGTCTGAGTAAGAGTCACCGTGGCCAAGTTAAATCGAATTTTCGGGACATGAAGTCCTTCATCATTTTTGCATACCCAGGCATCTCTTTCAAAGTATCTATCAATGGAATATTTACCTAGATTTGTTTCAGCATCTCCAAGAATTTCTTGTATTGCTCCTCTTTTTGGTACTTAGCCAGCCTCTGAGGGAATGGTGCGAGAGGTCTCTTCTTCCCAGTGATTTGGGACTGCTCTTTATCAGCTGCCACCTCAACTATTTGTTCCTGGGCTGTCTCAGCCTCTTTCTCAGTCTCAATCTGAATGTTATGTTCTTCTTGGGCCGGCTAGACTGTCACCTTTGTTAGTTTCGTTGACTCATCTAGCTCAATGGGCACGAGTATGAGTGTCTCAGCCTACCTCCTCTCTCGAGCCCTCTCTTTATCAACGTCTAAATCTCTGCCATTTCGTAGACTCACTGTCATCAACTGCTTCAGGACTTGTTCTTTTGGGTTTATTTGAGTGTCTGCAGGTAATGTCCCATGAGGACGATTGTTTAGAGAGATCGAAATTTGGCCAATCTGCACTTCAATATTCTTGATAGCTGAATCATGAGCATCTACTCTTTCACTAATTTTTGCATTAGACCCAATAACCTGCTGCATCATTGCCTCAAGTCTAGCAAACCCATCTTCCTGCCTTCCACCATGCTGCTGCTGAGGAGGGTGATACCCTTGATGCTGATTTTGATTATTATATCCCTGCGGCCTAGGGTAAGGTGCCATATTGTTAGGAGGTCTCATACCTCCCATGTTCCCATTGTTGAACTGTGGCTGGACTGGCCTGTATGGTTGATTTTGCTGGCCCCAATTCTGACCACCCTGTCTCTGGCCTCCATAATTAGACACATAGTTCATGTCTTCAGGGTAGTGATGATGATCATGTTCTGCATTCCACTGGTTACCAAATGGTTGACTAATGCAAGATGTGCATAAGCCCCCATTGGTAGTATCTACGATGTGTACCTGCTACTTCTGCCCTAACTCTTCCACCTTTTTGGTGAGGATACTCATCCGTGTCAATAAGGTGGCCATATTTTCAGCCATAGTTGGATGGATCTAAAGGCACTAAGTGCACCACTAGAGTGATAGGTGCATTCCTGGTTGTTCATCCTGAATTCTGTGCCATCTTGTCAAGCAGACTCTGGCCTTCTCTCCATGTTTTGCTCAAAAATGCTCTACCAGCTGAAGAATCAACAATGTTCTTCACGCTATCTGACAATCCCATGTAAAACCGATGTCCCAATATCAGATCTGGAATACCATGGTGCAGACATATAACCAAATCCCTTTGAATCGTTCCCATGTTTCATGCAGTGTCTCCATTGGTCTCTATTTGAAACTCAAAATTTCATCAATTTGTTGAGCAGTCTTGTTGGGTGGGTGGAACTTGTTAACAAATTGCTTGACTAACTCCTCCCAAGTTGTTATGGAATTAATGGGGAGTGAGTTTAGCCAGGTATGGGCAGCTCCTGTCACTGAGAATGGAAACAATAATAGCTTGATTGCTTCCGGAGTTACGTTGGATTGCCTTTGGGTTTTGCAGATTGACAGGAAATTCTTCAAGTGCTGTTGAGGATCTTCGACTTGTGTCCCCAAAAATAGTCCTTGTTTTGCAACAGGTGCAACATGTTGTTCGTGATTTGGAATGATTCAGCCTGTATCTGCGGGACTAAAATCGTTGTGGCCAGATTTTAAGGTGTGGGTTATGCCCAGTCATAGAGAGCAGCCTTTGGCACAAGAGGTGCCACTGGCGCTATTGGTACAGTTGGATCTACTTCGTGATCCCCCATGTCTGGTTCGAATTGTTCAGTTGTTTGTTTTTTCGGTTGGCCCGATCCAAGGCCTTGAAAACTCTCTTGAGATCTGATAATGCTTTAAATACTTCACCAGTTCTCGATGAGTTTCTTGGCATGCACCTGTACAACCAAGTTAACAAACGTTAAAATTTCAATGCAAAGATTGGGTGTAGAGAAAACTGACTACACTAAGAATTTTTGTACTTATTTCAATTGTAATTGATAACACCGTTAATTCCCCGGCAACAACGCCAAAATTTGATCACGCCCAACTATGCCTTATAAAAAGGACACGCGGACGTTGCAAATATAATCTGAGTATTTAGCCCAGAGTCGAACCCACAAGGAATTAACCTATCAATTACTTTTGTTAGACTTACTAAATTCTACAGAATCAACTTCCCAAACATTTTAAATAACAATTGAGTGTATTTCTACTAACTAAGAATGAAAGTAAATAAGCAACTGAAAACTACTATGATTAAGGTGTAAACAATTAAGAGAAGATTCTAAGGTTATGATTTCCCCTATTGATGGAATCCCTTCCGGTTATGTTTCACATAGATTCACCCAATGATCTCTATAAATCATGAGCACTCTTATTACCGTAAATCTCTCCCGAGTAATTACGACAATTTACTAGATGCACTCTCCCGAGTTACGCTAGCTAGCTTTATTTATTACAGCTCACTTTAGATTGCACCCAAGGCTTCATTATCCCTAATCCCACCTTTAAACCCTCAATTATTGATCCCTCATATACTTTGGGAGTGGTATTGTTCAACGATTACCTAAATATGCACTCCCTCCCGAGTTATGCACACTAAATAGGCACAGCTAGTTGAGGATCCTATCAATTAACTACAACAAGCACATAGTTGAACAAATAGAGATTAAACTGGGCAAACTATATTCACAAAACAAGAAGTTCATCCTCCAATAGGTTCCATCAAAACCCTAGACTAGGGAATTAGCTGCTCATGACAAAACAAGATAAAACTACTAAATTATTCATAATGAGTAATTGCAAGAAAATAAAAGGAGATAGAAAAACTCTAATGTTTAGTTGATCTTCTCACACTTGTTCTTGCCTCCAAAGTAGTCTAAAAACAAGCTTAAAAATATCTTGGGCGAGCTTCTAAAGTTTATAAGGGTTTGAGACAAGTTTTCCCCAAGTTACACTTTGGTCCCCAAATTTCTGGCGCGTGAATAGTTCACTGCGGTCGCGGCAAGACCGCGGTGAACGCTGAACATTCTGCCTCGAGCACTTGATCTGCCGCGGTTCCACCGCGGTCGCGGTAGATTTCACTCAGTCCATTTTTGCTTCTTTGTGCTCGGGTACTTCTTGATTTGGGTGTTTTCTTCACATTATTGCCTCCAAAACACTCCGTAGTGCTTCCTCACTTAAAATATTCCCTGCGAAGCAAAAGAACACCGTTTAGAGCATTTTGTTATCGATTTGACTATAAAACAACAATAAAGCATGGTAATATTAAGGTGTAAATATCATGTATATAGCCTAATATCACTTTGCTGACTCTAGTATAATATACTGGAGACTGGAGCACCAGTGCTCCAAACTCCAGTATATTATACTGGACAATTATACTTGCTGGAACTCCATCATATTATGCTGGAGTTCCAGCATACTTATCCTGGAACTCCAGTATAATATGCTGGAGTTCAAACATACTTATGATGGAACTCCAGTATAATATACTGGCGTATTTTTCGAGTTTTGAATAGTGTTTTTGCTCAGATTTATCTTACATGAAAAATAGCTAAATTTCAATTACTTTTGAAATTGAGCTATTTTTGAACGACTAGTTTTAAATCATGCTATTTTTGAATTTATCCATTACATACACTTTTACTTCTAGAAACTAGTCAAACAACCATATGACTTTTGACTGCAGAGTATTTTGACAAAAAACAAAAAAGTGAAGTGCTGAACATTAAGTGCTCGACTATATTAACCCTATATGCTATAAGCATAAAACTATTACAATAATTTTTCTGAGAAATTTCTTTCTCTCGCTCTGATTAAAGTTTCTCATATAAGAAGATGACGGCACTGTCGGAGCTCAACGATGACATTGTTCGTAGCATGACCGTAGCATCAGTCTTCTCAGATTTTGTGAGTAATCCCATCGAATTTTCAATATGGAACTGCTCTTGAATTCTAACGTTGTGATTTCCGGTGAACTCTTACGGTTTAATCGCCCGAGAATTAAGTCAATCAATTAATCCAACCTAGCTGGTGTGGGTTCTGTATATTCAGTTCTATTCGTGTTCTTTACTATTGGCCTGGGAGTTTAAGTGAGAGTTTTACTGAACGATTGACAAGCATTCTGTTACAAAATAACGGCCTATTTTTTAAAATCAAAGACCTGACACTTGTGAATTTTTAACACACTTCTCTGGCGTGGTAGCATATGATCTTACTCGACTTTGGGGAAGGATATTCAATTTCCTTTTACCTAATAATACGGGAACAATGTTAAACAGAAGTAGAAGGGCTGAATCAGGAAAGAGCAAGTAGCAAACACACTGGCAAATATAGAACTTTAATGTTGAAAAATCAACAAACTGGCTTTTATTTTTATTTTTTTCTGATATCGCGGAGTATGGGCTATCTTGTTTGCACCTCGAGTAATCTACGAGCAGGAATTTCATCAAGGGGTCCAAAAGGATGCTCTCTTGTATCTAGAGGAGGAATCAATGATTTATAGATACACAAAAAGAATTTTCACCAATAGACACTATATAATTTTTCGGCGAAGGGAATTCAGTTGAACCCCCTTTAGTAAGTGTACTGCTACTATGGCTGCAGCAGATGAGTTCATGGCTAATATTATAGTGGGAGATTCGGTCCTGGGATTTCTAGGTTGTTATTCCCATCCCTCAACTACTAGGCGATCACCTTGGGAACTAGTATCAAAGAACTTATTTTTATTGAAGTAGAACACTTCGGCTTGAGATAGTTATATGATCTAAAGAATTTCGCGTTTAACAACTTTGACAGCCTTACATAGTGGACTTCGAGTTTGAGCTGATAGAGAGATCATGATCAGGGCACTGTTTTCAATATATTGTAAATCAAGTGGTGTCTAATAAGTGGTTGTTATATCACATCCTATAATTTTTATCCCCTATACAAACTCAAGGCTAGATGCCTAATGAGTCCCTTTTGTTGGTATAACCTTGAAAATGTGAATAGTCTAGATAAATTCATGGATTTTGTTAGCTCCTTCAACTTCTACTAGCAATCAGAGGTGCATTATATCAATGTTGTCAAAGGCTCCTTTAAGGCGCGCTTAAGCCCTAAAGCTCAGGAAAACTTAGTTAGGGCATTTTGCCTCGCTTAACCTACGCTTTAGCGTAGGCAAGGCACTAAGGCGTGCGCCTCATTGCCCATGAATTCTATCCTGAATCGAGGATACTAAACAACAAATATAATCTGCAACTAAGTGTATTAGTTGTTGATGGAAACATTACAAATGAGTTGTTTCTTTTTTGTTGAATTACATATATAATTTTATTTTTGTCTGTCATTGCACCTTTTCTTTTTTTACTAAAGCCCACACTTTAGTTGCGCTTTGCGCTAAAGCCCTAATATACCTGGAGCGCTTTTTAGCGCTTTTTGCCTTCGACAATACTGCATTATACTGGAGATACCTTTTTTTGCTCAGCCGATGTAACTTTGGCATCCTCTGGATGCATTTTAATGAATTTTCTCATTTACTTGATAAAAAAATATATCATAATAATATAATATTGAATTTGTAAAGATTTAAGTATGTCCTTAGAGCAATATCAGTTTGCCATTTGTTTTTGTACCTATTAAGGAATTTTCTCTTTTGCAGAAAAGTTGATTTTTTAATGATAACAAATATATCTAATTATAGTAATGCTCACTCTCGTTTAGGCTTTGGCATAACCTATTTCGCTGAGAATCTAACAGCATAAACGTCCCTGATGGTTAAAGTAGTTCTAGCATTTTCATGAACTCTGAAAAATGACTTAGTAGAAAGGATTTAAGAAAGAGAGGCAAAGATGCATTAACACTAATAGCAAAAGCAAGGATGAGATTATGGGAAATTGGTTACCTTGTTCATGTGTCTACCGGCTCCCTCTCCTGGATGCATTTATTTAGCTGCAATATAAATAGAAAATAACTATATCCATGATGCTTTATACTTTTAATATGCAGTCAAAGCAGGGCGGATGCAGGCTTTAAGATATGGGTTCGGCTGAACTCATTAGCTTTGGCCCAAACTCTATATATGTGTTAAGAAATCTACTAAATATGTACAAATATTAAACTCACAACCGAGTTACTAGCACTTGATGTCTCTATCCTAGAATCCATAACCCACAAAGGTCAAATCCTGGATCCGCCTCTGGGTCAAGAAACCCTTTATCCTGATTAGGATAGAGGAGGTTAATGAAGAATAACTCTAAGCAAGCCAAGCGACAATCCATACTTTTCACCCTACACATTCATGCTCTTTATGCAACATCACACTTTCAATCTTTCATGACCTTTCTTTTTTCTGGCCCTTATACTGACTTGTAGCTTTACTTGAAATTCTGCAATGTACGAGATATGCTTATAAATAAGGTTAATACTTGTTTACAAAAGGTTCTTAAATCGAATCAGTAGCGATCTATATAGCTTGACAAATTGTTGTTTCAATCTATTAATTTTTAGTTTTAGATCTATGGCAACTTTGATTTTACCCTGACATATCTCTTTCTTTTAGGGCGGGCAGATAAACTCTCTTGATTTTCATCGGAAAGAAGATTTGCTGATAACTGCAAGTGAGGATGACTCAATTCGACTTTTTGACATTGCCAATGGGAAGTAAGTCCTTGAAGCAAGCTTGCAAGAAAAGGTCTTCCTTTACTTTCTTTTGTATGATCCACTTACTGTGCTGCGTCAGGTTATGAATCATGCCAAATTAGTGGATTAATCATAATTTATTCATCAGTATGATATTTATAGTGTCGTCTGAGATTGGATTTGGGTTTATAGAACAAGACTAGAATAGGAATCATTGCAACGATCCTTGAATATACTATCGTTCTTGTTCAGAGCATAATCAGGGTACAAAACCTTGAGTGTGTTTGTCTCCATTTTTTAAAGACCTGATGCTTCTCCATCAGAGCATTGCCCATTTTGTGGGCTTATCAGGTTCTGTCAACACCATATGTTCCTGCTTGCAAATTCTGGCCAATGACTTCAGTCTTCACGTTCTTAAGTATTAAATTTTGTGTAATTTTGGACTAAAATTTTGAAGTTAGTGAACCTTTGCAATATCTAATGGGCATATGGACAGATTGCGTGACCTTCATCTGGCATCAAGAGTTTATAGTTCATATAGTTGTCTTTGTCTGTGGTTATGTATTTCAAAAAGCCACATGCATTCTTAAACTTAGGAATCGTTTATCAAAAATTCTTAGACTTAGCAATCCTTCAAGCAGTAGAAGATGTTACATAAGGAGATCCTCTTCTTCTGGAAAGTGACTTATCACACCAACTCATACTTATTCTCTTCATTTACGCGGGATTAAAAAATGTGAAGAACTTCAGTAGAAGTGCATTTGAATGACTTAGGTTCACAGGAAGATTGCATTAGGCTGCAGCAGCCTTTCCATAGGAAAAGCTGATGTTTAGAGACAAAAAGGGGCTGAAAATTTTCAGTCATCCTAGAATTGCCCCACTGGTTGATTGGTGTGGGAAACTGAGACATTCACTTCCAAAAGTGGCCATTATATCAAAACAATAGTTCAAGGACTTGACCATGGTAGTTAAGGCCTATATGAGACTATTTCAGAAAGTTAAGGGACTCCTGTCTTTAGGGCTCTTGAGCATGAAAAGCAACTTTAACATGATTGTTTGAGCTATGTTAAGAAGCTTGAGTGTACCTCAATTTTTGGGCTATCTATTGGTGTCCTCCTCTGGGCTGTGGCTGATTTATTTTGACCCTTGATTATGTACCAAGGGAATGTGGATAAATTACTTATTCAAATTCATTTCTAATTATCTTCAAAATAAATTTATCCTCATTATCTATTATTCATATGAAAGTCTGTCAACGATAGAATCTAGTGTTCGTACTAGTTCCGCAATTGACAAAAAAAGTTAGGTTGGGGGAACATATTTTTGGGAGCATATTCTATTACCTTGTGCCTATTTCTCCATTTTGAAATGTTGAATGAATATTTAAACAACTTAGGCCTCGGACTGATTCAAATCGGGATTCTGTTTGGTCCTTCAGCAAGTTTAAGCTTTTGCATAATGCAACTAATGTCTCTATGAGCTATCTTAACTAGACCAAAATATATAGTTCCTGTAATTTCTTTTTGACCTTCAGGTTGCTGAAGACTGCATATCATAAGAAGCATGGAGCTGATCGAATATGCTTTACCCACCACCCTCACTCTGTTATATGCTCTTCAATACACAACTTGGATTTGCATGGAGGTGATTTTCTTTGGACCAACTTTTGATTTTGCATTACATGAAAGGATATTTCACATTTTTGCTTCCTGTCTGCTGCCAGAATCTTTGCGGTACCTATCCATGTATGATAATCGATGCCTTCGTTACTTTAAGGGACATAAAGAGAGGTAGGGTGCTTTTTCCTTGGTATTTATCTCTGGAATGATTAAAAAATTGTGCATTTTCGGTAGAAAAGTTGGGGACTGACAATGGACTGCCCTGGTTGTTTTATAAATGCTTACAACAACAACTACACCTCAGTCACAAACAAGTTTTATAAATTCTTTTTTTGAAATTGATAACTTTTGTATATATTAATAAGTAGATGTGCTGGTGTGCAACCTAGCAAGATCCTAGTATTTCTACAATTGTCAATGTATCTTCTGTGTAAATCTGTTTACACCAAAAACAAAAAAGAAGAATACAATTGAGTTTGATCTTCTGTACTGGGTTGCTTCTATCTTCAAAACATCTAGCATTCCTTTCCCTCAAGACTGTCCACCAGATACAAGCTGGGACAGTCCTCCATCTCTCTCTATTAGTTGCTTCAACACCAGCTTCTTCCCAACTATAAAGAACTTCATTAATCCTGCATGACATTGTCCATGAAATACCCCTAAGACTAATAAAGATTTTCCATAGTTGGTCAGTTATCTTGCAATGTAGAAATAAATGGCTAACAGTCTCAGCGTTTTCCCCACATAGGAAACATCTTGAACACAGAGAAATTCCTCTTTTTATGAGATTATCCTGGGTTAATACAGCCTCCTTTGCTAGTAGCCAAGAGAAACATGCTACCTTATAAGGAATCATTGTTCTCCATATATGCTTCCATGGCCAAGCATCTATCTGGAGATCATTTTGATTCAAAATCTTATGTGCATCCTTCACCTGATAGACCCCTCTTTTGTGCCTCTGCCACCAAAGTGAATCCACCTATTCCTGTAATCNGAAATTGTTTGCACCCAGTGGGTTTCGAACTTGAGACCTTGAAAGGGAGCAAACCCCAAGGCTCAAGTCAATTGCCACCAGGCCAACCCCTGAGGGTTAGGTCAGCTAATCTTGTTATCTCCCAGTCATTCAACTGTCTTCTAAGAGTGAGTTCCCATCCTTGATAACTCCATATATCAGCTACTGTCCTATGCTGGTTTTATGCCAAACCAAACATATCAGGGTATCTTTCCTTTAGGCTTCCATGTCCCAACCAATTATCATTCCAGAATGATGTGTTCCTTCCGTAGTTCACTCTTATGGAAGAGTGAATTTTCATTATAGGCCAAAGTTCTCTGATGGATTTCCACACACTAACTCCATATGATGTGCTGACTTTGTTTGACACCTAGTTATTTTCCTCACCGTACTTAGCTTTGATCACTTTGCTCTATAAAGTTTGAGGTTCTTGAGAATATTTCCAAAGCCATTTCAATCTAAGAGCCTTGCTTTGATTCTTCAAATTTCTTATTCCTAAACCACCTTGTTTTTTGGCCATTGTCTTCCATTTAACTTGCCAAAGGTCTTCCACAAATGGAAGACCTTTTTCTCCTTATTCCCTTGCCAAAGGAAGGTTCTTCGGAGTTTGTCTAGTCTCTGTATGATTCCGGCAGAAATTGGGAACAAAGACATCATGTAAGTAGGAAGTGAGTATAATACTGAGTTGATTAAAACTAGCCTGCCCCCCATTGATAGGTATTGCGATTTCCATCTTGACAGCTTCTTCTCACACTTTTCAATGACTGAATTCCAGATCTCTTTGGATTTGGATCTTGCACCAAGAGGCATTCCAAGGTATACAGTAGGTAGGGACCCTACTTCTCCTCCCATTATCTGTGTCAGTTGCTCCATGTTATTAACTTCATTAATGGGATAAATATGGTTCTTTCTCCAGTTGATGTGTAGTCCCGAAATTCCTTCAAATAAGACCAAGATGATCCTTAGAAACCTGAGTTGCTCCTTTTCAGCGTCACAACAGACTAGAGTATCATCATCATATTGAAGATGTGTGATCTCTAGACTGTTTGCCCCATTCCTGTGAACCTCGAAACCTTTAACCCATCCATTGACTTTGGCCGTTTTAATCATGTTGTTCAGTCCTTCCATAACTATAATGAACAAAAAGGGAGATAAAGGATCGCCTTGTCTTAGAGATCTATGTGCATGGAAGAAACCTTCAGGAGATCCATTTATGAGAATGGAGAATGTAATAGTAAATATGCAAAATTTCATCCAACTGATCCATTTTTGCCCAAAACCCATTTGTTCTAACAATTTCAGTATAAGCTCCAGTTGACATGATCATAAGCCTTCTCATTATCTAGCTTGCATAGGATTCCGGGTTCTTTCTTTTTGATTCTTGAATCCACAGCTTCATTAGCAATCAACACTGCATCTATTATTTGTCTTCCTTTGTTGAAAGCCATTTGTTGAGCATCTACTAATTTTTCTACCACCCTCTTAAGTCTTTCAGTCAAGACTTTTGAGAGCAGTTTGTAGAAACTCCCTATCAAACTGATTGGCCTGAAATCTCTCAATTCTTTCGCACCTGTCTTCTTTGGAATCAAGGCTATGTATGTTGCATTGAAGCTTTTCTCAAACATCTCCTGGGAATGGAAGTTTTTGGAGGCTTCCATGATGTCGTGCTTCAAAATATCCCAGCACTTAATGAAAAAACCCATTGTGTATCCATCTGGACCTGGGGCCTTGTTAGTTGCACACATCTTCAGACAGCTCGGGACTTCTTGTTCCTCAAATTAACTCTGTAAAGACTCCTTCTCTGTTTCAGAGATTTTGGGACTGTTTTCGAAATTGACTGTCGGTCTCCACTCTTCAGGTTCTGTGTATAACCCCTTGTAGAATTCAATGATCACATTCTTTATTCTGTATGGCTCCTCTACTGCTTCATCTTGAACCATAAGTTGATCAATATTGTTGTTTCTCTTGTGTGCATTGGCAGTACGATGGAAAAACTTTGCATTCCTATCCTCTTCTTTGAGCCACAGAGCTCTTGATTTCTGTCTCCATGCACTTTCTTCGTTCTTGAGGTGATCCTCAAGCTCCATGAGGGTAGCTGCCTTCCTCATTGATTCCTCCTTTGTCAGAGCTCTTAATTATTGTGTTGCCTCAAAACCTGCCAATTGACTCATCAATTTTGATTTTTGCAATCCCAGATTTCCTTTACAACTTCTACTCCATTCTTTTAGCTTGCCTTTGAGAGCTTTTAATTTGCAAGCTAAAATATAGTCTGGTCTTCCTGAAAATTCAAAAGATGTCTACCAATTTCTAATTCTATCATCAAAACCTTCCACGTTCAGCCACCAATTTTCAAACCTAAAGTATGATTTAGCTTGTTCCCAGGCACTGCAGCATAGAGCCACTAGTGAATGGTCAGAAATGAGCCTTTGTTGAAGCGTTTGCTTGATATTTCTGAAGCTGTCGTCCCATTCTTCTGAAATGAGAAATCTATCAATTCTAGAAGCGGTTGTATGATTATCCCCTTTGAACCAAGTATAGTAGCCTCCTTCGAGTTGAAGATCTATCAACTCCATGTCTTCTATGAAATCCGAGAATTCCACCATCTCTCTGGACCTCCTCGAGCATTCCCGTTTTTCAGAAGGGTACCTTGTGACGTTAAAATCACCACAGACTACCCAAGGGCCTTCCATCAATCCCCTCACTGCACCAATTTTTCTCCATACTGTTCTTCTTTCTATTCTGCAATTTGGAGCATACACTCCTGTTATATGACATTGAAAGTTCTGTAAAAGAGCTTCGAACTTGCATGTCAAAGTGTATGCACCAGTCTGTAACACCTCCCCTTTCGATACTCTGCAATCCCATAGTAACAAAATCCCCCATCTCGTGCCGCTAGCTTCTAAACATGCGTACCTCACCCATCTCCTACCCCAAATTTGATTGACTATTTCCTTGAAATCCCCCTCCACTTTTGTCTTCTGCATACAAATAATGTCTGCCTTCCAATTCAGCACTTGACTTTTTATGATCTCCCTTTTCTTCTTATCATTTAATCCCCTTACATTCCATGAAATTAAATTGATCTTCATATTGCAATAATAGATAGATCTCTTCCCCTACTCCTTTTCCCATCACTCTTGAATTTGACATCAAAGGAGGTTAATCCTTTTAATTCCAGTGAGCCATTAAACCTCCGTTTCTTCACCTCCATCTCTGTCTTCACTCTTCTAACTTGTTTGCAACTGTCAATTTGCATTAGTAACTCCAATGCTTCTTCTTCATGGCCTTGAAAATCTACTCCAAACATTTTCCCCAATTTGATCATATTTTGATGGACCCACAGTGTTGCATCCATCTCTTTATCCATTACTGGATTGTGTTGTTGTACTGATATAGGAGTAACCTCCTCTATTTCCCAATCTTGGATAGAGTTGAAGTGCTTTAGTTGTTGGTGCTCCAATGCATTTTCAACTTGATCTTCCCCCATCTTTTTGTTTATGGTATTCTCCCCTGCCTTCTGTCCCAGTATTCCTATCTCTGCTTCACCTTATGGCTGATCGCAACTCATATGTGTTGCCTGTGGCATAATTTCAAGGTTTGCAATGGGACTTGGATCCCCTGGATTGGATTCTTTTGCTTTCAAGTAAGAGTTGCATCCCAGTTCCTCAATATAAGGCGTCAACCTAATTTCATCAGTGGCCTCACACAAGAGATCATTAAAAATGACTTGTGCAGCCAAATCAGACACATTTGATTCCAGCTCATTATTTGCCGCATTCATGCTCAGATTTGTCGAACTTCGACCTTGCGTATGTTGCACCCGTGCCTTTCCCTTTTTATTATTTTGCAATATGGTGCATCCCACTTGGTCGCCCATGTTTCTCTCTGCTCCAAAGCTATATGTGTTTTCCGACGACTTCAGCTCAAATCTTGCCTATTTTTCAACCCAGATTGGGATGAAAAATTTGATCCCTTCTCTTTCAATCCCAATCTCATTAGGAATTTGTTTGCCATCACCAACAATTTGAATTCCAACCCACTTAGGGTGATTTTTGAGATCTGTTTCTTCTTCAGTAGATATCCATCCCCCACAGAGATCTCCTCTTTCTTTGAAGATCTTTTGTGACCACAGATGTAAGGGAATCCCCATGACTCTAATCCAGCATGTTTCCACAATTTGAGAGTTTGGAATGCATCCAGCAGTGTAGTTCCATCATTCCAGATGAAGCTTGAACTTTTTCCATCTCCAATCTCCTTGTAGAATCTGCTCAGCCATGTATCTATTCGGAAACTCAAATAGAAACATGTTGCCAGTCATCTCATACATGTTGACTCCATATGCTTTGTTCTATGAAGCAGTAGCCCATCGCCTTATGTCTGCTAGAGTGGGTCTCTCAGTGACTTCTTTCCCAAAATACCCAATAATGCATCTTTTTAGTAACCTGTGTCCTCCGCTCCCGAGGGTTCCAAAATAGAGATATCTCCATTGTTTATACTGACATTTGCCTCTTGAAGGGTATTAGATTGCCATTTACTCTCCTTAACTGCTTTGACATAAGGGTAGTTGTCCACAGTGTTTCTGGGTGGTACTGTGGTATTGAGCTTGGGGGCATGATAGATGATTCTTTCTATCTTAGCTGCTATGTCTTTCCAGCCTGCATTCAAAGCTAGCTCTGGGATTATAATAACTAACCTCCCTTCTTCCTTTAATGACAAAATACTCATATATATTCCATGAGCATTAAATTTCCTAGTGCAAAAATGTTCTGCCATTTGGTCCTTATACTTCCATCTCTTCACTAAATTCTTTTGGCCTGTCGAGGCTTCTTTAAGTACAAAGCAAATCCATTCCATTGTCTTTTTACCCATGGATAAGCGTCTCATCATGTTGCGGCTTCTCTCCACCCATTCAAACCATATATCTTTGTTGGTGTTCCATCTGGTGATGTCGAAAGATTTGAATCCGGCGTTGAAGTATATCCTGCTGTCTCCCATAATGAACTAACCAGCTGCTCAGGTTATGAAAATTATAGAGGGTGTTTTGTCGTAAACACAGTGGGTGAATACTGATTCCGGAGAAGGAGATGATTGGCTTCGTTGAGAAGTTCCCCGTAATGGAATTCTGCAGACTAGAGAAGAAGAAGCAAGAATTTTGGTTTGCAGCTGAATGAAAAATGATTGGAAAATGGCCGGAAAAAGGCTTCCCGTCGCCGGAGAAAAGTAAAAGTAGTCGGAATCTAGAACTGCAAGGATGGGTTGGGTCGGAATAGGGTGTTGAAGAGGCTATCCCGAAGAAAAAAATTCAAAACTTGCCCGGAGTAGCCTCACGCGCCGGCGCGTGGTGGACTGCTTGCCGGAGCTTGGCTCGCGTGGCTAGTTGGTCTCCTATGGTGTTTGTATAAACTCAGAATTTCAGGTTCTCAGGCTCCTCGGGGAGTGTGCCTGAGAGCATATTTGAGTTAATTGTTCACTGCAGTCCAAAGCATTCTCAGATTATTATTATTTTTTTTATTTTTATTTTTTTATTTTTTTAATAAATTCTTACTATGTAAAAACAGCTAGAATGGTTGAAAATGTGCCTAAAATACTTGATTTACTGATTTATCTTTACGCATTTGCTCAAACAATTTATTTTGGCTTGAATAAGATGTTATGGAGATTTATACATTTTCTCTCACAATAGAAATAAAAAATGTTATAATGTAGAAGAGAAATGAATAAAGGGCGAGGACAAGATGCCCTATAAAATAGGCAAAACATAATGGACTTTTAATTGGGTGACATTTTAGGTTTATTTTATGTACAGTAACAGAGTATATTTTTCATGTTGTCTCCCTTCTGACCCCTTGATTTTGACATATTGATTATCTTCATATCTATAACTCCAACTTGGCTGCAGGGTTGTGTCACTGTGTATGTCTCCAGTTAATGACAGCTTCATGTCTGGTTCTCTTGACCATAGTGTCAGAATATGGGATCTTCGTGTAAATGCCTGCCAGGTTGGTATCACATCTTTTACTAAATAAGCGTGGTCTTCAATTATCAAAGATATTTTAGACTATCTTAGAGACTTTATTTAGCCTTTAATATTTTGAGGAAATGAATCCTTTTTTATTGGGAATAATGGTGGTGTGACCAACTTGCTTAAACCTTGACTAATCTGCTGGGTACCTGTAACTCTGTCCGTCAAGGCTTAGATAGATGAAAAGAAATTACTTAATGTTTTCTTTGCCTCTTTTGCGACTTGAACTCTGGTCATGCATGGTCCCTTCCAGCTTCATTGACTATTAAGCGACACCCTTTAAGGAAGTCCAATTGTGCAATTACAGGGTTAGTAACATAAGAGAAAAGGTGTTATTTGGCACACATTCATTGTGAAATGTCCTCCCTTATCTTAGTGAGGCCAAATGTACTGAGTGATAGGATTTAGCAATGTTAGGTACTATTCCAATCCAATGAACGAAACAAAGAAAAACTGAAACTAATTAAATGAACTTCCCGACTAGTTGAAGAATTAGAACAATCATTTCTAGAACCGAGAACCACAAACATTTATCTTTTAAGGTTGAGCTATTTTCTCTGGCTGCACTTGGCAGTTGTAAGTTGTAACTGTGATTCCCATTTATGATCTCTGCAGCCGTCTCCTAAAACTGTTATATCATGTTAGGCACAACTTAAAAGTATTATTTGGAGTCATGTCTTCATGCAAGAACGAAATTTTTAATGAAGGATAATCTGTTCTTTAGGAACAAATATTGGTGCGTAACTGCATTCTATCCGAATGTTATTTTAGATTACTCAGGCTAGGTAGTCATCGGACTGAAAGAAGTGTATTTATTGAAAACCAATNAAACAATTTAAGGCCCCAATTTTATTACATTTATTTAGTATTACATATATTGTAAAATTATTATCATTATTAAAAAACTAGATTTATGTTTTTTTTTTGGAATGTGATAAGAGGTTATTTCGATAAATACTTGAATTTCATAATAAATATGCAATACGTAAAAAAGAACAATTTGATGACGTTATTGACAATTAAAAAAATAAAAATGAAGTCTCTTGTAGTATCTCTTAGAGTTCATATTTCTATAAAGAGTGGATCAAGCCACTTTTTAAATTCATTAGACTTGAACTACTCCGAATGTGATTATATTTTAACTTGTACTTAGCAAAGTGAGATCATTAGATGATGAGAACTATAAAAAATTATCTTAACCATGGATGTTACTATTGTCGAAGCTTCGGTGAGTAGAGTTATCTTGATGGTAGGAGCTAGCAGGTAGCCCAGTGCCTTGGCAAGATAAGTACAAGATGGTCTAAACACCATCTTTACAAACAAAAAGAAAAAAAAACTTAAGATTTGGCTTTAGGCCACCAATACCGTTGAACCGCCTCTGTATCAGTTCTTATTCCTCTATACTCTTCAAGCTTGGACTTATATGTTAATTAATGATCTCGGATGTTAATTCTCCAGCGATTATAACATAACATTTCGGTAGCCTACCACTAATAGACGCATACTTCCAATTACACCGTGAACCTTTCAATGGTTTGACATTGTGGCAGAAATAGCCTCAGATTACACCTATTTGCTTGCACGCATGACTGATATGAAGATACTATCTATTCACTTGTTATAATAAAGCACACAGAAGATATTTTGTATGTATGTGTTCTAGGAAACATATATAATATATGCCTTTAGTCCTACTTACTCTCAAGCAGGGTGGGTGCTAATCTGCTGATATGTCTTAGCATTTGTGAGCTCTCACAAATATTAGTTCGTTAGTGTACAAAAGACCAGTTGTTGGTACTACTAGCTAGTCAAACTTCTACCGCATGAAACACATGTTTGTGATATACGCTCACTCTTGTAGTTTTCAGGGGATTTTGCGTCTAAGAGGTAGGCCTGCAGTTGCTTATGACCAACAAGGCCTTGTCTTTGCAGTGGCAATGGAAGGGGGTGCCGTCAAATTGTTTGATTCAAGATCGTACGACAAGGTTTGTGCCTCTAAAGTTCAGCTTGCTTAAGATTACAGATAATGAATTTGGTCATGTCTTGTGATATGTAGGGACCCTTTGATACCTTCCTAGTTGGTGGAGACACAGCTGAGGTTTGTGACATAAAATTCAGCAATGATGGAAAATCAATGCTCTTAACAACTACTAGTAACAGCATCTATGTCCTTGACGCCTATGGAGGAGAGAAGGTTACTTTTCCATCAGAATTCTTTCATCTGTCTGCTCTGGATTATCTTTTTTTGTTCATTGTATTTTCCGTGATGTTTTACGAACTTATCCAACACTAAAAGGCTCAACCATTTTACTGGCACAGCGGTGTGGGTTTAATCTGGATCCCTCCCCGACAGCAATGGAGGCAACCTTTACACCAGATGGCCAATATGTTGTTTCAGGTATTAGATTAAATTCTTTGAGCTTATTATTGACTGTAGAAGAATTCTCCTATATCATTGTTGTGACTTAGATATTAGACTTAGTGGGTTGGTGTTAGGATACTGTAAGTTTACCCTGAGCATGCCAAGGTCTTGATCTCAAGCAAATCAAATGCTTATTTAAAGTGAACGTGATAAAAAAATTTAGCTGTCTGTATTACTTGGAGATTTTCGATAAGATAGTAAGCTGTATATCGGTGCTTTCCTTGTAATGCAGCTGGAAAAACTTTTATTTATCTGAAAACATATTACTAAATTGTGGGATGACGTTTTATATGTTCAAGTAAACCATTAAACCCTGATTTGTCTGGGAGTCTGTGTAGTTGATGGGATGTTGATTGAAATTGTTGAAATTTTTAACACCAGAGTGTAGTCGAAGCTAAAATTTCCGAGACCTTTTTTCTCTTGGTTTCCAAAGTTTTCGGAAATGAAAGTGCCTTTGTGATAATATACCAATGTTGCGTGATATTGCCTTTTATTATTGAGATAATATGTCAATATTGTGCGGTATAAGTATCCAACATAATAATCTCAAGACTTATCGAGAGCGATGTTGTGTGCACAAAGGAAGTTTGTTACGCTTTTCAACAGCTTTTGTGATGTAAGAAATAAATGCACTTTGTCCGCAAGGGAGTGACAGAGTGGTTGAGGTGTAGGAGTAACAAATTGGATTTCCCATGTTCTGAACCTTGCTACAACGATCATTATAAACCCACTTTGCTCCAGCCTCAGTGTGTAGGTTTACCTGGCGTTTATGCTTGTGGACTGTAGCAGGCTGCCAGATGACTTAGTTGAGTGCGTGCAAGCTGTCCGTGGACATAACCGTCGTCAAAAAATCTAATGCACTCTAGGAATATCATAGTAGTATTAACTACTTCCAGAATACCTGCCCAATCTTTATACCTTTTTGGTCCTATGTTGCTGCAATCTTTCAGCCTGACCTTGGGAAACAAATTCATGTTAGTTGCAAGTTGTGCATAGGGTTCATTTGGACGCACTACACAAATGTTAACCATCTTGATCTTGCATGAACTTGTTTTCAGTTTCTACCTTTCAGTGATTAAGGATCATTACTGCTCAAATAAAAAATAGATAAGAGTAAGAGAGAAAAAGAGTATACCTATAATCTTAGAGCTTGACCAGTAGGATTCTTGTCTTTAAGTTGTGAACCAGTAGCCATGTATAAGCACGATAACTTGACGGTCATCAGTATTTCACTCTTTCGGGTCCTTTCAAAAAAGTTAAATGAAAAAAGAACATTCTTGCACGGAAGCTAGTACGTATTGCAGACATTGTTTGAGCAAAAGTAGAGGGAAAAGAAATTTTGGCATTAGGCATTCTGGTGCAAACAATCTTTGGGTATTGGTGATCTCCTTGGGAACAGCGTAGCGACGGGTAATTCAGAATCAGAATAGGTCCAGTCTAGGGGATAAATCAATAGGAAATGTTATTTGCTTCGTAAGAATAAGAATTCACTTCAATGAAATGAAAGAGTTTCATGGGAATTGTCATGTATCTGCATTGCCTGCACTTTAATATCTTTTTATCTGTGCCTCCGCTTTGATGAGAATTGTTCTTTTGATTCTGTTGTCGATGCTTGGTTCTTATTTTTCATCCTTTTCGTAATAACAATTGCACACTGTCAAATGCAAGCTTGAGGCATTCTACTCTATGATCTTATTTTTGATACTAGAACTAAGATGTTTTGTGTTCANCCCCTCCCCCGGTGCGCGCGTGTGTGTTAGGCCTGTAACAGCTGTTATTTGAGGGATAAAATTGACAGATAGCTACTTTTCTGCCCTGTAATTGAAATATACCACTCTCATGGAGTTTTAAATTCCATGACACTGGATATTTTTCGTGATAAGAGGGGTTGCTCTGATGGTAAGCAACCTCCACTTCCTACCAAGAGGTTGTGAGTTCGAGTCTTCCCAAGAGCAAGGTGGGAAGTTCTTGGAGGGAAGGATGCCGGGGGTCTATTTGGAACCTCTCTACCCCAGGGTAGGGGTAAGGTCTGCGTACACACTACCCTCCCCAGACCCCATTTGATATTTTTCAATTACAAGGCTGAAAAGTGGCTGGCCCGCACTGTTACTACTTATTTGATTCTGTATCATTGATACGTCTGTTTGAGTGGCCTGCCTTCTTGTGTCCCTTATTACTCATGGGAAAACTTACCTACTGTGTATGTACACCAGACCGATTAACACGGGAAATGTATCTTTCATATGCACCTTTATCACTGACCATATTTAATCAATGTATAACATCACCCCAATTTATTGCTAAATGATGGTATACTAATACAGTCTGATGAAACACTGGGTGTAAATAAGATTTTTACAATACCCATCAGTACAGTTAATGGATTCTTTTATCTTCCTAAGGGCTAAAAGGTTGCCTGTTTTGATAGGTTTCTAGCTGGGATAGCCACATAGGCGTCCCATCCTGCTTGAAATGGGCGCCAAGAAGAGTAATGTTCGTTGCTGCATCATCAGTTCTTACCTTTTGGATCCCTAATCATGGTGCTGGTGATGCCGCTGGAGCCCAGACAGAAGAAGTTACTCTTCAATGACGTTTTCTAATGTTAAAATCTTTTGTTGTATACTTTTCATATATCGTTACGTGTGTCTTTGTATACCTTTGAGCTGCTTAAATCGAAACTTGGTCAGCTGATCCCCTCTTGGAGTTTATTAACATTCTTGCTTCTTCTGAGCCCTTTCTATTTCCCAAGGTTTTATATTAGGGTCTTCGAGTGACCATCTCGAAATTTTATTGGTCCTTTTAACTTTTTCCTTCCCAAACTATGCTATATGTGTATGTGTAAGGATCTTAAAATGGAGGTAGCATGTGTCTATTTTGATTTCTTTTTGGAAAACAATGGAGTTGGGCCAGGGTGGTTATTTTAGAGTTTTTGGCGAAAAACGTCCTTTAACTATACCCGTAACCTAAACTATATCCTTCACATATCATTGTAAATAGAAAACATCCTTGTTATATCCCATAATTAACAAGTTGCATCCTTCCGTTACTCTAAAGTTATAAAACTAACGGAATAAAGCTATTCACATGAGTTGCATGTGACGTCCCACACCGCCCAAAGCATTTCGTCGTACTCCTCTTGCCCTACCTTGCCACTACAAAGAAATCCAAACTCATTAGTCCTTTGCACAATATTTCTTTTCTGTTCTTTGCAACCAAAAGATGGTACAAGTAAATGGTAGTAATATCCAGTGATCCACCAACCAAATACAATCAAAACGCACATGCAAGTTGAGTTCACGATAGCGAAGTCGGCAATCTCACCATTATAATACACTCAACAGTACATCAAATGAAGTAGCTTACTGCTACAACTATGGAGCTCTAAATGTTGGAAGATATAATTGCACTTGCAAAAAGTAAATCTTAGTAATTGTGTACGCGTAAAATTGGGCATAAAGCTACTCCGATTTTCTGGTAAAGAAATGGGAGGACAGCCCGATCCAATATGACCTCGGATAAAGCCGAGGGCTCCTATGGATCTGAGCCCGGGAAGACTGAATGATGCGCTAAAAATCGGACACGGCCAAATATGGGAAGAATCACTTCGAGCAAAATAAAGAATCGAGACTAAAGGAAAGCCGGTTGGAAAGGACAAACAAGCGGATGAAATATTCGCCCTTAACCGAATATTACGGCGCAAATCTCGCCCAGTATCAACAGTGTATCACGGTTTACTAGAGAAAAAAAAGATTTTTAACTTATTTAAACTTCTACTAAGATTGAAACTCACCTATTATTTAAAGGGAGAACCTTTTTATTTTCAAGACCACGGTTGGCACACATATCAAAACATTAAAGTCAATTTTTGTTCTCTAATTATTGTTCAAAGTGTTCTTCCGTTGCTTATTTGTTTAATTACAATCGAGCCCGTTTCCCGGCTTAATCTAAACCAACTTTCAGTGTTCGCCATAAAGTGAGGCTTAATCATCCATTGCGTTTGGTTTGATTGTTTTTATCTTACTTTAATTCAATGATTTGTNGAAATTCTCGAGTTAGGCATGGTGCTGCCACCCTTGGCAGGCACCAACTCACAAAAATGGCCTACACTTGCACGAATCTGCCCTATAAAAGCCCCTGCCTAAGGCCGCTCGTGCTGCCACTCGTTTGGCAAGGCAATGACACATATTTTGCCATGCTCAAGCCATAAAATAGACAACCCTATGCCTATCTTTCAGACCATTTCCCTCCCTAGGTACTTAGCCTGTTTTTAAGGCTGCTAGCACACATATATATATTGTAGTCAGCCCAAAAGTGTTTCCTATATTCAGTTGACATCCCCCAACTGATAGGACATGATCCCCATGATCAAAACGTGTAGGACATGTCTCTAACATGCCTAAAAACGTGCATAAACTCAGCCTATAATCAGCAACTCTTGGACAAAGGCAGTTGTAACCGCCAACTGCATGGCATGTGCACAACACACTTGAAAACCACTCCATGTGCGCTGCATGTGTGCGTTTCTTGGCCAGCTGCTGCACGCCCAAGGCTGGCTTTGCGCCCAGCCTTAGCCTTTGACACTGCTTCCGCTCAATGCCATCACCACAACTCGTCACCCTTGACTTAGCCGCACGCCAATCCGCTGCCACAATAGCTTGTTCTTGTCAAGTCGCCCCTACTTGATCAAGTCTGCCCGTTTTNTTTGAGTAACGGAAGGATGCAACTTGTTAATTCTGGGATATAACAAAGATGTTTTCTGCTTACAATGATATGTGAAGGATGTAGTTTAGGTTATGGGTATAATTAAAGGACGTTTTTCGCCAAAAACTCGTTATTTTACATGAGCTCCGATTCTAAAAAAATATTTTTTTAATGTTTGATTGGCTTAAATATTTTAGAAAATATTTTTCTTATGACTTAATTAGAGGAAAATGACTTCTTTACAAAGGGGAGAAAAAGGATTTTCTAAAACACTCTTTGAACCTTAACTTTACCCCTAAGCAACATCTTCATCATCCCGGCTTCTAGACTAACCTACTGTCACAGGGGCGTTTTCTGTCCGCCGAAAATGCTGCCCGATGTGCCGCAGTCAAGTCCCCACTTGACCTCAGTCTTACCCGATTTTCGTACGCTTTCGAGGTTTAACACTTAGAATAAATTTAAGGCAACATGAATAAACAAAGGCAACACAGATTTACGGGAACCCTTTCCCAACCTTTTATAATAAATCAATTACAAAGGAAATTCTCGAGTTAGGCATGGTGCTGCCACCCTTGGCA